CAACACACCTTTAAGTCCTTCACTTCTTCAGAGCCAAAAGTGCTTTAAAATAACACAAGATTAGGTTTTCAGGCAACGTAACTAAACGTTCAAAATTAAAATCGTAAATAAAAACTTGAAATGCTGTCGTGAAAAAGAACAGCATTCTCCAATGTCTTACCGAAGACAGTTCATCACATCCCAGCAACGTGTAGTAATCGTCAGTATCCTCCGACCTGTAGTTCAGTATCGCGTCCATTTAGATCACTAAAGCAGCTTTTCTTCCCTCTGGAGCCTTTTGAGACCTGGCTTACAGCAGCTCGTTTCAAATGGCAATAACTAGATTTAAGGCTGGCCACAGTCAATACACCAGATGTCATCCTAGACCTTTGTAAACTCTACCTTTCATTGGCTGTTTACACAAGAGAAAAGAACAGGCCACGTGACGTGCCTGGGACTGCGCTGCCGTGCCGCCTGGGATCTGTAGTTTGAGTTTAAGGGTTGCAGATGAACCTTTGTTTTCATTAATTAACAAAAACTGTCCGTTTTCACATACCTCAAATTGGCCATCTCTTCATCTCCTATATATTTTTTATCTTCTTCCCTTTTTTTTTAAGGGATAGAAGAAAACTCGAAGCAATTTGAAGTAGTAAAATCGTAGGATTTGATAAATATGAGTAGTGGGCACTTTTCTGAGTGTTTGGGATATTTCATAATTTTTAAAAAATAGTTTATTTAAGCGTAGAAGGAAATCTGCAGTCCTGCATACCTGAGACTGAGTAAATTTTTATTTATCTGATAATTCATGCATGTAACAACTATTTATTGAGGACCTAGTTCATGCCCAGCACAATCATCAGAAAAGGTGTGGTAAACAAGCCTTAGTTCTTAGGGAGTTTACCTTCTGAAAGAAGGAATCAGACAAGATACATGCAAACAAACAGTATCATTTAAAATAGTGATTTGTGACATGAAAGAAATAAAACTGGCTAATGAGAAGGAGAACTGTATGAAGACAGGGGTCAGATGGCTGTGCAGTTTCTCCTGGGCTCTCTCCACACTCAGGAGTGTGACAGGCCTAGGGTATGTCCAGCAAGTGTGTGGTTTAGCTCATTGTGGCTCTAAGAAATGTAGGATTTAAAGAAAGTGAGTGGTCCAGGATACATTTAACTGCCTTAACCCTTTAAATGCCTTCATAAAGTGTCACCTTGGAAAAAAACACTTTTCCATTGAATTCACCCACATACATCTTTTTTAAGGTTTATTTCCAAAAAGAAATAAAACAGTAAAGCACCATTTTCACTAATCCTTCATTACATATTATTTCTTGCCAAAAGTTTGGTATAGAATTTTAAAACAAATGTCAGACACTTCCAATCTTCGGCTCCTACAAACAATACTGCACTGAATACTCTTGTTCTTAGGATCTTTCACTCATGCTGGCACGTTTTTTTAGAAAACAAAGTTAACATGTACTGAGTTATTAGGGATTTATTGAAAGCCTATTGGATACATACTAGCACAGTATCTGTAGTTTTGCTTTTTTTTTAAGAACGCTATGATAATTTCTTTTGCTCCCCTACATCTCGTAACTTCAGTTTTAGCAAAATTATTATTACATGTAAGCATAATGTATGTGACAGAATAAAACCAACTAAAGGTTTTCACACCTTTCCTCAATAACCTAAAATTAGGCAATTCTAGAAATAGACTACATCTGCATCATATTGTATTATCTAACATTTTATTTACCTAACTGTGGCCTACATTTCTGACACTTTGGCTCTGAATGGCTCCTCTCTCCTTGGTGTCATAAGCTCACAGCACCCCTTGGGATAAGGGTATTGATTTAAGAGAAAGAGCTCATAATTCAATAAGCACCCAATTGAAGATGTCCTTTATATTGTGATGTTAGATTTATGCAGGATTACTGGTTATTTTCCTCATTTTGTTATCTCCACATTTACGTTCACTGTCAGAATTCAATAAAAAGCTCTTTCTCATTTTGATTTAAGCCTTTGGGATTTTGTTATTTTTTAATAATAATGCTGATGTGATGAGATCTCATCCTCAAAATGAAAATGTTGAGTTTGATCAGGCCCTTGATGAAAATGCTTGCAGTGTGATTTTACACTCAGAGAAAAAGTGCCCAACCAGTCCTCATGTTTGTCTTATTATAAAAACTAACACGAATCTCACATTTTTGTTCTCAAATTTTTTTTATTTTCATCACTGTTGTATATTCTCATGTGTTTTAGCCTTTTTTTAAGGACACAGTATTCAAAGGTTTATACCAAAAAAAAGCCGAAGACTTGCTTCATATCTCCTTCTGCCTATAAGCAAATACTGTAAAACATTTTAGCTATTTCTTCTTATATTTTTCACCATTTTTCTAAATGATGTTTATATTTCAAAACTTCTTTTAAGTGTAATGTATTGCACCATAGCATCCACACTAAATCCTTGATCAAATAACAGCAAAATGGCAAGAATACATTATCCAGACCTGATTAAAAACCAAGTCTAAATTTTACCAATGAGACAATCAAAAAAAAAATGTTTGGGGCCATATTTGTATATACTATATATGAATATAAGGTATATATTATATATAAAATAGTCAAATGCCTATATGTAATACTTAACTTCCATTATTTAGTTATATATGAAATAATCAAATGACCTATAATATTCAACTTTTTAAATTTACTCAATCTACATATTTAAAATAATATATTATGTGGCTTAAAGACTTAAACTTAAGATAAGACACTATAAACCTCCTAGAAGAAAACACAGGCAAAACAGTCTCTGACATAAATCTTAGCAATGTTCTCCTAGGGCAGTCTACCCAGGCAATAGAAATAAAAGCAAAAATAAACAAATGGGACCTAATTAAACTTATAAGCTTTTTAGTATATGTGCTACCAAAGCGAGCACTAAACTTACACGCTTTTGCACAGCAAAGGAAACCATAAATAAAACAAAAAAGACAACCTACTGAACGGAGAAAATACTTGAAAATGATGCGACTGGCAAGGGCTTAATTTCCAGAATATACAAACATCTCATACAACTTAATAACAATAACAAAAAATGACCCAATCCAAAAATGGGCAGAAGACCTAAACAAGCAATTCTCCAAAGAAGACATACAAATGGCCAATAGGCACATGAAAAACTGTTCAATATCACTAATTATTAGAAAAATGCAATTCAAAACTACAATGAGGTAACACCTCACACCAGTCAGGATGGCCATCATTCTAAACTCCACAAACGATAAATGCTGGAGAGGGTGTGGAGAAAAGGGAACCCTTCTACACTGCTGGTGGGAAAGCAGTTTGGTGCAGCTGTTATGGAAAACAGTATGGAGAATCCTCAGAAAACTAAAAATAGACTTACCATATGATCCAGCAATCCTACTCCTGGGAATATATCGAGAGGCAACTCTAATTCGAAAAGATACATGCACCCCAATGTTCATAGCATCACTATTTACAATAGCCAAGACATGGAAACATCCTTAATGTCCATCAATAGATGACTGGATAAAGAAGTTGTGGAATATACAATGGAATACTACTCAGTCATTAAAAAGTATAAAATAATGCCATTTCCTACAACATGAATGGACCTGGAGATGGTCATTCTAAGTGAAGTAAGCCAGAAAGAGGAAGAAAAACACCATACCATATCACTTATATGTGGAATCTTAAAAAAAAGACACAAAT